TCAGTAGTTAAGCCGCTGCCTTCGGCTCAGGTCATGGTCTCAGGGTCCTGGGATCGAGTCCCACATCGGGCTCTCTGCTCAGCAGGGAGCCTGCTTCCCTCTCTCTCTCTCTCTGCCTGCCTCTCTGCCTACTTGTGATCTCTCTCTGTCAAATAAATAAATAAAATCTTAAAAAGAAAATATCCCCCAAACCTACTGTTGAATGAATAAAAGGGAGCTGTAGGGGCATCTGGGTGGCTCAGTCAGTTAAAGTGTCTGCCTTCAGCTCAGGTCATGATCCCAGGGTCTGGGATCCAGCCCTGCATTGGGCTCCCTGCTCAGTGGGGAGTCTGCTTCTCCCTCTCCCCACTGTTCCTGCTCTTTCTCTAGATCATGCTCTCTCTCTCTCAAGTAAATAAAATCTTTAAAAAATAAAAGAGTTGTAGAATGATAAATATTTTTAAAGATTGAAATTTGTATTAATTATAAACATATAAAAGTATATTCTACATACTTATGGGGATATTGGTATTAAAAATTTTAAAATACAGACTAGAGGGGAGCCCAGGAGGCTCAGTCACTTAAGTGTCTGCCTTTGGCTTGGGTCATGATCCCAGGGTCCTGGGATGGAGCCCCTCCACACTGTGGGGCTCCCTGCTCAGCAGCTGGCGGGCTGCTTCTTCCTCTGCCTCTCCCTCTCCCTCTGCCCCTCCCCTCCCCTCAGCTCATGCTCTTTCTCACTTGCACTCTCTCTCTCTAAAAATAAATACATAAATAAAATATTTTGAAAAAAGAATATCAGGGACACCTCGGTGTCTCAGTGGGTTGGGCCTCTGCCTTCAGCTCAGGTCATGATCCCAGGACTCTGGGATCGGGCCCTGCATCAGGCTCTCTGCTCAGCAGGGAGCCTGCTTTCCCCCACTCTCTCTGCCTGCATCTCTGCCTACTTGTGATCTCTCTGTCAAATAAATAAATAAAAATAAAACCTTAAAAAAAAAAAGGATATCAGAAGACTATCAGGGGCACCTTGGTGGCTCAGTGGGTTAAAGCCTCTGCCTTCGGCTTAGGTCATGATCTCAGGGTCCTGGGATCAAGCCCGCTCTGCTCAGCAGGGAGCCTGCTTCCTCCCCTCTCTCTCTGCTTGCCTCTCTGCCTACTTGTGATCTCTGTCAAATAAATAAATAAAGTCTTTAAAAAAAAAAAAAAGAAGACTATCAGTACTCCCGTAGAGGAATAAGTTTAGGATGCCTTGGGAATGCATAATGGTGGGGTCTTACCATTTTTAATTGGGGTCAGCAAGGACTGGCAGGAAGAAATGGGAGTTAGACTGGTAACGGGAATGGGAAGAACATTCCAGGCGGAGAGAATGGTATGTGTGAAATTGGGAATCAGAGAGAATGAAGCATGTTTGTGGAAACAAATGCGGGTCAGTGGCCAGGAGAACGTGAAGAAGAGGGGAGAGATGAGGCTGCCAAACCCCCATGTTGTTGTTGTTTCCTTTATTACGAATGTGGAAACAGAGCCCTAGTGAGGAGAGCAGAACCATGGCCTCCTAACTCCTTGTCAAATGCTCCACGATGATAATAATGAGAATGATAATAATGATGACACATCATGTGCCGGTCTCTCTACTAGGTACTTGAAGTATATCCTCCCATTACTCTCACTACAGACCTATAGAGGTTTTTCCTCCCCATTTTACAGATGAACTGAGACTCACGAAAGTTAAGAAATTTGCTCAAAGTCAGAGAGGCAGAAGCCGGATCCCACAAGGCCTTGTGTCCGATGCTGAACAGATTGAATTTTTCCTAAGGACATTGGTGGGTGTATTGGGTTCCTATTCCAGCTGTAATTACCACCAACTGAGTGACCTAAAAGAACTCAAATGTATGAGCTTGTAGTTTTTGAGGTCAGGCTTCTGAAGTGGGTTTCACTAGGCTGATTTAGGTGTCAGCAAGGCTGGGTTCCTAGGAGACCTTAGGAGAGAATCTGTTTCCTTGCTTTTCCACCTGCATTCCTCAGCTCCCAACCCCCTTCCATCTTCAAAGCCAGCAATCATAACACTCCTGACCTCTGTTTCTACCATCAGATACCGCCCCCCCCAACTCTATACTCCTGCCTCCCTCTCTCACTTCTAAGGACCTGGGGGATAACATTGGGCCCACGCGAATAATCCAGGACAGTCTTGTCATCTCATGATCAGCTGATTAGCAACTTTAATTCCATCCACCAGCCTTAATGCCCCCATCTAACATAATATATTCACAATTTCTAGGAATTAGAGCATAGACTTCTTCGGGGAGACAGTTATGTTGCCTACCACAATGAACCACGTTGAAGGGTTTTAATCAAGGAAGTGACAAAGTGAGACCTGTGTTTTAGCATCTTCATATTCCTGGTTTTGCAAAACAATCTCTCCCTGACTTATTTAAGGCAAACTGAGCTTTGCAACAGCTAACACTTCCGAAGGCGGAACAGTTCATAGACACTAAATGTGTTAAGCCTAATAACTACAGCTGGTGTTTTTACAGAGCTTTTAACGTGATGGAGATCCTTTGTACATGCGATTTGCTTATTCCCCCAACAACCAAGTCCAAGTCCAAGTCCAAGTCCAAGGCACTGTTAATTATTGCCTGTTTATGAATGAGGAAACTGATCCAGGGGCATTTGGTCGCCTGCCCAGGGCCATAGAGCTGCTAAAGCCAGGGCCAGAACTAGGAACTAGTCTGCAGACCCCTCCACCAGCATTTCTTTACGCCATCTGTGGGGTGGGCATTCTGGGAAACTCAAGTCAGCACATCTTTGGTGTAATGACTCATGTATAACTTGTTGCCCAACAGACATGTGTTGAATAGATGAGGTCCTGCTTTCACTTCTGTGACACAAACAGTGGTTTTCAAGGCAGGAAAATGGGGAATGGTCCTAGAATTCCCCCCCTTGTCCCCACGTCCAATCTATTTGCAAGTCCCATCAGCTATGCTGCCAAAATATTAAGTCTGTCCCCTTCTTTCCAGTTTTCTCTGCTCCTGCTGTGTCCCTGGGCACCACCGCCTCACTGGCCTCCCTGCTTTGCCCCTCTAATATATTCGCTCTGGATAGGCATCAAAGTGACCAGCTTAAAATGTAAACCAGATGACAGGGCTGGCCTCCCCTATTAAATTTTCCCACCACATTTCCATCATACAGAGGAGGAAAACCTAGAGTCCCAGTTATGGCCATACACAGTCCTGTGCACTGGGCTCCCCACTTTCTCTTTATCCTCAAGTCCCTTGGCACCCCATCCTCTCCAGTCCCACTGACTCTTTGCAAAGGGCAAACTCTTCCCACCACAGGGCCTTTGCTTGTCTTGTTCCTTCTGCTGGAAATCTCTCTACTCTTTAAACAGTTGGGTCTTTCTTATACATCAAGTCCTAGCTCAGATGTTGCTTATTTAAGAAAGGTTCTTCCTGCCTCCTTCTCTTTCCCTCACTGAAAATTGTGAGCATTTGTAAATACTTTGTCTATTTGCTTCTTTTGTTCGCCTCCCCTCCTAGACCCCAGATGTCCTATATGTAGCTACCACCCACATATGGCTGTTAAGCATGTGACATGTGGTTAGCCTGAACTGAGATGTGCTCTAAGTGTAAAGTACACACTGGATTGTAAAGACTTAATACAATAAAAAGGATGTAGAATGTCTCAATAATTGTTCAATATTGATTGCATGTTGAAATGATAATATTGTGGATATACTGGATTAAATGAAAACATTAACAACCTGTTTCTTTCTACCTTTTTAATGTGGCCACTAAAATTTAAGATTACACATGTGGCCCGCATTATATTTCTTTTGGCCAGGGCTGGTCTACACTGTTAGCCGACGAAGGTAGGAACCTTCTCCGCCTTAGCCATCTCTGGGTCCCTAGTATCTGCCATACAGTAGGTGCTCAGTAAGCTTTGTTGTAGTTTTTATGAGAATCCTATGCACAGGGAGAGATGAGACAGGCAGCCCCAAGGATGCTGTGAATTTGAGGAGGAAAGAAATGCCAACGACAGTTTTCTCTCTCCAGTCCCTGCATTTCAAACCAGTTCTGTCAACGTTCCGTCCTGCTCTGTACCAACATTCCCCCCATGGTCACCTGCTACTGTAGATGCCAGGTGGTGGGTGGCTGGAGGATGGGAGCTGGAACTGCTGCTTCCATTTCAGACCCATAGGAGATGCCCCTTCTCAAGTATTTTACGATCTTCAGCTTGGGTCCTAGCAGCCAGAAAGGGTTCACCTCCACATACTGGGACACACATGGCAGCTGGGAGCCAAAGGAAGCTGTCCAGGCTCACCAGCAGGTCAGAGGTGAATAGGACCTGGAACCTTTTCAGGTCCAGGACTCTGGCCTCTAACTACATCCTGTTGTAGTCTCCCTTATTCCAAGGGACTCAGGTGTCTGGAACCTTCCCCCTTGCCTCCCTTTCCTCACATTTGACCTCTGATCTCTTGAGGTCCCTTGAGGACACTAATGCCAGGTCTTCCCAGAGCTGACCCAAATGGCGCCATCCGCATAGACGCCAACGCGGATGGTACGAATGGCTGGGAGGGAGGGAGGGAGGGAGGGAGGGAGGATGGATGGACGGATGGATGAATGGATGGACCGAGGTAGGGATGAATGGGTGGACTGGAGGATGGGAGGACAGATGGCCGCATGAGTGGAGGAGGAGGACGGCTGGCTGGTAGGACGTCCGCATGGGGGCGGGGGGGAGGGCAGCAGGAGTGAGGATGTACCGAAGGAAGGAATTACCCACACAGTATCTGAATACAGGGGGACCCATAGCGATCCAAGTCCGGCTCCCGTCACGTTTCTGCTAGGAAACCGCGGCCAGGCCGATGGAGCCGGGCGCTCAGCCCCAGGGCCCGCAAGGCGGTCCTGGGCAGCGCCAGAGCTGGGATCAGAGTGGCTGCGCGGCCGGCCGGGGGCTCTTCCCGCCCCCGCGCCCACCCCACCCCCCCGCGCCAGACGGTGCCAGGTGGGGGGAGCGTCCCCGCCCCCACCTCCGGAGGTGGCGGCCCCACGCGGCCCAACAAGCTGCCGTTGTCCCGCGGGCCCCGGGCCCGGCACACTGGGGCTTTGTCCAGCCCCCCGCCGCGACCCACGGTGGGGGGGGCCCCACATGACCGAGGGGGTAGGAGGAGCCTGCGGCGGCGGCGGCGGTGGCGGCGGCGGCGGCGGCGGCGGCGGCTCCACCACCATTTCCCTCCCTGGCCGGGGGTCGGCGGGCGGTGGTGGCGGCGGCGGCGGCGGCGGCAGCGGCGGCCGGGCAGGGGCCCCCGTTCCCCGCCAGGCTGCAGGCGCCCGGCCTGGGCCAGCAGGGCAGCTGCGACCCAAGCGCTCTCCGAGCGGCGAGCTGGGGGTGCGCCCGGACCCCCGCCCCCGGGATCATGGGGAATGGCATGACCAAGGTAGGGGGGCGGGGATCGCGCCGTCCGCACCTGGCCGCCCCCAGCCCCGCCAGGGCGCAAGCTCCGCCTGGGTCGCTGTGCCCGCCTCTGACCTTCTGGCCCTCGCCCTGAGGCGCTGTGTGTCTAAATCTCTGTCTCTCGGTGACTCTCTGACCCTGCATCCCTGTGTCTCTCTGCTCACGTCTCTCTGGGTGTCTCTGGCCTCGCTCTCCCTGTGTCTCTGTCTCTGCCTGTTTCTGTGACTCTGTATTTCTTGTTGGGTCTTTTTGTGACTCTCTGTCACTCCCACACTCTATGTCTCTGAGTCCCTTTCCCTGTTCCAGGTGTCTCTGTCTTCCTTGTCTCTGATTCCTTGGACTCTCTCTCTGGTGCTGTTTCTCCATCCTTTCCCCTCTGCCTCTGCGTGACCCTCCTTCTGTCCCTGCCTTCCCACCTCCCTCGGAATTCCCCACCACCCACCTGGCAAATCCATCTCTCTCCCTGTTCCCCCCCACAGCGTGTTCCTCTTCCCTCCCTGCTTCAAGCTCTCACCCCTACCCAAGCTGGCCTCCCCTGGTGCCCCCCTCCTATCCTCCCTAGCCCCTCTCACAGAGTCCAGGTCCAGGATGGGGAGGAGATTGCTGCCTGAGTCCTGAGGTCCAGACACCTGGTCATGGAATGGAAATGTGGGCCCCCAGCTAGGTAATGGGAAGATGTGCACCCCTACGCCACTGACCCCAGCCTGTCTCTCCTGTAGGTACTTCCTGGACTCTACCTCGGAAACTTCATTGGTGAGCACTGCCCACTCTGTCCCAAGGCTGTGGCACTCTGCCTGTCCAGGCCCATGTCCACCATTCATGCTGAGGCCCACGCACCTTGGAAGCACTCAGGAATGGGGCCGGGGGCAGGGAAGCAATGCCAGGCTGGGAGGGAGAAGGAATTCATGAGGACTAAGGGATATGTAGGATAAGTGTCCCTAGTGCACAGGGCTCAAAACACCTGTCAGATGTCAGGCAAGTCTGCACCTGCTCTGAGCCCCAGCCTCTCCCCCAGCACATGGCCCACTCACCTCACCAGGCTCTTACAGCCCTGAGGTTCCGGGTTGAGGTCTGTTCGGGGTGCTGCTTCTAGCTGGGAAACCAGGAACCTTACCCCTACAACCTTCTACACAGAGGGGAGGTTTCCGGAGACTGGATTGTACCCAGAAACTTGTTAGTGAGCACTGCCCATTCCATCCCAAGGCCATGGCCCGCTCCCTGTCCCAGGCATGTGCTAAGAGACAGGCTGATCCTGAGACTCCACACTTTTCCACGTGGAGTCAGAGAAAGCTTCAGAGAGGAAGGGGCATCTGCACCAGGGCAGGGCTTTCCCCACCCATCCCTGCCCCCCTCCCCCCTGCCCTGGCATTGATGCCCACTCTCGTGAATCTGATCTCCTCCTCTCTGGGAGCCACCTCCGCTGTTCACACCCCTTGATTTCTGAGTATTGAGCTAAGGAAACTCTGGACCCTCTTGAAGTCTGTAGCCCCATGAGGGCAGCGGCCATGAAGTTGCCCATGAACCCCCATGCCCAGCCAAGGCTGCACATAGTAAACACACAGGAAATGTGTTGAATGAAGTAGACTTAGGGAGAGAAAGAGGATATGTGTTATTTATTCTGATTCTAAAAGACCCCCATACACTGGAATTCCAGCCCCTAGAGACAGCCACTGATACAAGTGTGAGGTTTATCCTTGGGTCGGTTTTCATACATCTTTGTGGATGCAGATGTAACATTTAAAACAAAAATGGAAGTCTACTCTGCACGCTGTTCAGTCACCTGTTTCCTATGTAATAATGCACTGTGGACATGCTCGCACATCAGCACAGAGAGGTCTTTTCTAGCCATCGGCTGCACAGTATTCAAGTATGGATACACCATTATTTATGTAGCTTTCTCAGGGTGGATGTGTAGGTTGCTCCCACTTTTTAACAATTTCTCGTGTGTTTACTGTTATGAGCAGTACTGCAGAGAACATCTTCTACATACAGCTTCTGGGTGAGCAAACCTTTCTGCAGACAGAATTCCCGGCTCCATCAAGGATATGCCAGGAAAGGGTGTTTGCTATGGAAGGAACTCCAGGGGCAAGGCTGGGAAGGGGCTGGGCTGCGACTTGTGGGTGTCCCAGCAACAAGACTGAAGCCTAGGGGTGCGGTGGGACCTGTCAGACCAGGAACAGGAGGGGGCCAAGGAGCAGGGGGCTGGCAGAAGGTGGGACAAAGTGGAGAGGGAGGGGTGGGGAGGGGAGCTGGGCAGTGAGCTCCCACCTCTCTTGGCCATCAGGGACATGTGAGTCGCACCAATCAGACAGGCTCAGGCATTTCATTTCTTTCAGATGCCAAAGACCCGGACCAGCTGGGCCGGAACAAGATCACACACATCATCTCTATCCACGAGTCACCCCAGCCTCTGCTGCAGGTACTCCTTACCCCTATCCTTTGGTGGCGTACAGGTGCAAAGGGGGGCTTCAGCAGCGCCCCCAGCACCCATTTCTTAGGTACTTACTATGTGCCAGGCCCTATACTGCCTCCCTGACCCATACTTGGCCATCCTGTTAAAAACTGCCTTGTTTTACATCAGCATCCTCATTTGATCCCTATTTGGCAACCGAGGCCCAGAGAGGTAAAGTAACTTGCCTAAGGTCACACAGCCAGGAAGCTAAGGAGCTAGGATTTGACAGTCTGAGCCCAGAGGCCTCACCCTGAACTTTAAAAAGGCCCCTCCACGGGCTTTCCATTGCCCAGCTGAATTGATTACTACAAATGGATGGTTCTGTGTTCTGCGTCTTGTTGTGTAATCTTGGGCTGTGACTTTACCTGTCTGGGCCTCTGATCCTCCAGTCCCATCTGCCCCTAGAGGGGCTGCTGTGAGGATGCAAAGGGGCTGTAGGACGGTGAAGATGCTTTGCACACAGTAAAGCATGGCCCCCACCAGAAGGGTTGGTGCTGGTTTTATGGGAGTCCTAGAAAAGAGAGGGTAAGGTTGTTCTTTTTTGGGGGGTGGGGGGAGTAAGGTTGTTCTAACCCAGAAAAGGAAAGTAGTAAATCCAGAATGCTTTTGTAATCATGGGCACAGGACTTTACCATTCTGAGCCTCAGTTGCCTGATTTGTAAAATAGGAATTTTATAAATATTTATTTGAGAAAGAGAGAGAGGGAATGAGCAGGAGGGTAGAGGGAGAGAGAATCTCAAGTAGATTCTGCCTTGAGTGTGGAGCCTAATGTGGGGCTCAATCTCACAACCCCGAGATCACGACCCAAGCGGAAACCAAGAGTCAGACACTCAACCAACTGCATTACCCAGACGCCCCTAAGATGGTGATTTTATAACAGCACCTACCTTACTGAGTTGTTGAGCTCCACATAAAGGCCAACAAATTACAGCCGATCTAGCAAAGTTAATCATATTCTTATCCCATAAATAGAGTGTGTGCCACCCACTAAACGGGGATAACTGCAGGTGGAAAAAGGCTCTGGAGATCTGAAATCCAGACCAGATTTGCTGTGTGACCTCAGATAGGTTCCTTCTACTCTCTGGGCCTTAGTTTCTCCACGTGTCTGTGTTGATGGTCTCTAAGAGCAACCTTCAATAATCTGGGGATTCTCAGCGTCATTCAAACAAGAAATTTCCAGGTCAGTGGAGCCCGATTTTGCTTTATATGGCAGGCTTGTTTTGGAGGATTTGGAGTATGCAGTCACTCAATTGCACAGGGAAGGCTGTCAAGTCATGAATAGATTGACTAATGAAATGACTGCTTGCCAGATGAGTCCCTACTCCAGCAGCCTTCCCTTCTTCCCACGGGCAGCCCTGCCTCCCCATCTATCAGTGAATTTACCAGTCAGGGTTTGATAATGCCCAACAATCCCAAGGCCAAATGTGTTGCAAAGTGAAATTGCAAACCTTGCAAAAGAGGCAGGATGGTGTGACCTTGGGAAAAGTGAGTCAGAGAAGGGCTGGAATCTCACACAAAGCCATTAGCAAATGAGGACCTGGCCCAGGGTCCCTTAGCTAGGGCTGGTGGCAGGCCTGACACTGGAAAAGAGTCGTTTGAATATCAAAGAATTAAAAGAGGTTCTTGAGAAAAGTGATTATTGGAACAGGAGCCCAAATCATCCTATGATCTTGTGTGAAGGTTAAGCACCAAGTAAAGGATGTCATAGCCAGTTTGTGGGAGAAATTACTGATAATTCATCCCTTGGTTATTTTAATAATTAGCACACAGTTTTATAGCCACAATTAATGAGGTAGAAACTTATTTTCATGGTTTTTGTTTCTTCTCAAGATAATGAAATTTAATTTTTTAAAGAATTTATTTATTTATTTGACAGAGAGAGATCACAAGTAGGCAGAGAGGCAGGCAGAGAGAGAGAGAGAGGAGGAAGCAGACTCCCCACTGAGCAGAGAGCCTGATGCAGGACTCGATCCCAGGACCCTGAGATCATGACCTGAGCCGAAGGCAGAGGCTTAACCCACTGAGCCACCCAGGTGCCCCTATTTTTTATAAGACCTTTAAAAAACCTTTTTGGGGGGATGCCTGGGTAGCTCAGTAGGTTAAGCAGCTGCCTTCAGCTCAGGTCATGATCCCAGCGTTCTGGGATCGAGCCCGCCTTTGGGCTCCCTGCTCAGCAGAAAACCTGCTTCCCCTCTCTCCCTCTGTTGCTCCCCCTGCTTGTGTGGTCTTTCTCTATCTCTATCTCTCTCTCTCTGTCAAGTAAATAAATAAATAAAATCTTTAAAAAAGAAAAGGAAAATAAAAAATAGAAAACTTCAAAAGAAAAAAAAAAGAGTCTGCCTTCGGCTCAGGTCATGATCCCAGGGTCCTGGGATTAAGTCCCACATGGGGCTCCTTGTTCAGCAGGGAGCCTGCTTCTCCCTCTCCCTCTGCCTGCTGCTGCCCCTGCTTGTGCATGCTCTCTCTCACTCTGTCTCTATGACAAATAAATAAAAATCTTAAAACATAGGAAAAAAAACACACCTTTTTCAATAAGTAATCTCTCTGTGTCCAACGTGGGGGTTCGAACCCACAACCCTGAGATCAAGAAGTGCATGCTCTACCGACCAAGCCATCCAGGTGCCCCTGTTTTGCCCTTTTTTTGGTATAATTTTGTAATCCTCATTTGGAGGAGAGTCACTGTTAGTGGCCCCTTCCTACCTATTAAATAAAAGATCCCTGAATTCTTTTTATCAAGTCCTTATGCCCAGATCACCTATGAGGTTAGGATACCAAAAGGTATCTCAGAAGGTTCTGGAACCGCAGAAAGATAGAGCCAGGAGGCACTCAGCTGATATCTAGCCTCTTTGGATAGAGAGGGCAACAGTGGCTCAGAAAGGAGCAGGATCTGGGCTGGGGTCATGAGGTGCTTGGGTGGCCCAGGCCAAGGCCGGCAGCACAGCCGAGGGCCCCCTACTGCCCATGTGTGTTTTGTATTTGCAGGACATAACCTACCTTCGCATCCCTGTGGCGGACACCCCTGAGGTACCCATGTAAGTTCTCTGGAGGCACCAAGAAAGGTGGTGGTGGTGGTAGGAGGGTGGGGGTGGCCTGGGGGAGGACAGAGCAGACTCATGCCAGAAAGCTGTCCTGGGGAGCCTAGCACAAGTGCTCACTCAGACCTCTCTTTGCCTCTGTCCCAGCTACACCCTTGCCTATGCCCCAGGCCAAGACCTTTAACCTCCCAGACCTCAGTGTCTTTAGCTGTGAGATGGGGAGAGTACTCTGCCTAAGGACCAGACGCCCAGCAGACTGGAAGGGGTCAGGCTTAGCCAGTTCCTGGCCCTGGAGTTAAGACATCTGGGCTCCAGCCAGGCTTTGCCATTTTCTTGCTGTGTGACCTTGCACCAATCGCTTTCCCTCTCTGAGATCAGATGGTGCAGGTTAAGAATCCAGGACAGGGCCTGGTCTGTAACAGGGACTCAGAAGGCAGGATTTTTGTGTGTGTTATGAGCTGTAGTGCCTTCCCAGCCTGGGAGTGACCCAGACAGACACTCCTCCCAACCCATGGCTGACCACCCTTGTCAGGTGCTCTGCTTGCAGACCCCAGAGGAGTGGGACTCCTCTGTCTCCTCCCACATGTCCTTGAAAGACCAAGATAAAGCCTCCATGAAAAGAGGATCCAGGGGACCCACAGGAGAGGTGCTCCTGCCTCTGTGATGGGATTTCTCATCATTGGCTGCTTTCACTACCTGAAATGTCCCCATTGTGGCTTCCCACAGCCTTGCACTTGCACTATCATACAGGCCCTGTTCGCTGCCTGGGCCAGCCGCCCTGAGGACCCTGGGCTCTTGACATCCCATCAGTGCAGAGGGGGATGACTCCTAGGATACCTGCCTCCCAATGCTCATTACCCTATTGCTTTCTTCTCTAGCAAAAAGCACTTCAAAGAATGTATCAACTTCATCCACTGTTGCCGCCTCAATGGGGGGAACTGCCTTGTGCACTGGTGAGTTAAGAGAGGGATGAGGGGAGCAAGTAAGGGACTGTCCTCCATCACACCCAAGCACTCACACTATGGGGAATTAGGAACCTGGGATAGACCTTCTCCAGCCCGTTGTCACACATGACTGTCCGCCATTCATCTGATGGAGGTTGGTCGGGGGGGGCTCCAATCAGGGCTCTGTCCCTTACCAGCTGTGTGGCCAAGGCCAAAGAGCTGTTTCTCCCCGAGACTCCCACTTGCTCATCTGTAAAATGGAGAAAAGACTGTTACCAGATGGACTAACCGTAGGGAGTAGGTGAGATCAGGCAGGTGGCCCTGCATCCTCTGAGAGTTCTTGCTCCCTCTCCTCCCCTCCATGCTTTTGAGGAAATAGGGCTGAGCAGTGGGGGACCCCAGGCTGGGAGACAGGGACTCACCCCAGTTGATATCATTCATCCCATAACTTCCCACTGAGCACCTAGCCTATGCTGGGTTCAGGGCGGCTCTCTCTCAGAGCCCTTGCCCTAAGAACAGCTCCTCCAGCCTGTCACCCTTTGCCCCTGCTTGCCCCACTCCAGCTGCACTGACCACCTCCCCACCCTTCAAATCTTCCAGCTCCCACCTCGTGGGCTTCATACACTGCCCAGAACATTCTTGACTGGCCCCTACCCACCTTTTAGGACTCAGCTTGATGTCACTTCCTCGGAAACCCCTTCCCTAATCCCTCCCCATCCCCTCCACTACATTAAAACCTTTTCCTATATGATCCCTTAGCCCCTGGACTCCTCATTGGAGCAGTTATCCCTACCCGAAATTGTTTCCCTGGTTAGTGGCCTTCTCTCCCAACTCTCCTGAAAGCCCTGGGACAGACCATGTTTGTTTTATTCCCCACCATATCCACAGTACCTGACAAATTACAGATGGTCAGGAAACGTTTGCTGAATGAATGAATGAAGTGATTTTCCCACTCAGGCCTCTGATGTGGGAGAGTGCCCGGGGAATACTCCAGGCAGAAGGAACAGCATGGGCAAAGGAAGTGGGAAAACAGGTCCTGGCAGGCTCTTTGGGATGGGAGCTCAGAGGCAAGGGCGAGAATGAGGGCGGGTGGGAGAGCTGAGGTGGGGAGGGGGTGTCTGGGAGCAGGGCATGGAGGAGATTGGGCCTTACCTGAAGCCTGGGGGTGGGGGGTGGGTATCCCAGCTTTGCAGGCATCTCCCGCAGCACCACCATCGTGACGGCCTATGTGATGACTGTGACGGGGCTAGGCTGGCGGGACGTGCTTGAAGCCATCAAGGCCACCCGGCCTATCGCCAACCCCAACCCAGGCTTTAGGCAGCAGCTCGAAGAGTTTGGCTGGGGCAGTTCCCGGAAGGTAGGGGCTGGGGCAGAGGCAGGAGCTGGGCAGGGCTGGGAGACTGCTTCCCGCTTGAGTGGAGCACTGATGGGAAAGAAGTTAGCCTGTGCTTCAGACCTGACAGGAGATTTTCTGGGGTCTCGAACTCGCGACCCCTGAGCTAATCTAGCCTCTAGGTGTACTTTGTTTGGTCAGCCAGATGTTTTCTTTTCCTTTTTAGTTTAGTATTTGGATGCCTTTGGGCTAGACTATGGACCCTTCAGTTTGACCAGGTCCCAGCACTGCCTTCTCTATCTGCCTGGAACCTGGAGGCACTTGAATGTTTGACCCCTTTGGGGAGAAATGTCCATTCCCTTACTCCACCCCTGGGTTCCTGATAAGGCCAAAACCTCTCCTTCTTTTATACCCACTGGGCGGATAGCCAAGAGGCCAGTGTGGAGGGGGTTGCTGCTCAGGGAGGAGGACTCAGGTGGTCCCCACTGGGCTGGGGGCGGGCGTCGCTTTAGCAGGTCTGGGAGATGGAGTGTCCAAGGGGAAGTGTGGTCCAGGAGAGGGAAGGGACTTAGAGGAGGAAGGGGCTCGATGGGGGCGAGGGAAACTCAGAAGAGAAGGGGAGAGGATGCTCAGGAAGGGGAGGGGCCTAGCGAGGGGTGGGGAGCTCGCTGACCGGCGGAAGCGACGAGGACCGGGGAGGGGACCGGCCGGCAGCCCGGCACCGACCGACCCCTGGCCCCCTCCTCCCCCCCCCCCCCCCCCCCCCCCCCCCCCCCCACCCCCCTCCTCCTCCCCGCCACCCCCCAGCTCCGGCGGCAGCTGGAGGAGCGCTTCGGAGAGAGCCCTTTCCGCGACGAGGAGGAGGTGCGCGCGCTGCTGCCGCTGTGCGGGCGCTGCCGCCAGGGCCCTGCGCCGGCGCCCGCGGCCCCCGCGCCGCACTCGGCAGCCTCCGAGGGAACCCTGCAGCGCCTGGTGCCGCGGCCGCCCCGGGAGGCCCACCGGCCGCTGCCCCTGCTGGCGCGCGTCAAGCAGACTTTCTCTTGCCTCCCGCGGTGTCTGTCCCGGAAAGGCGGCAAGTGAGGATCCCGACCCGCCGTGGCGCCCCTCTTCCTAACGACCGGTCCCCTTCGGGGCTGTCTGGGCCTCCCTCGGCCTCCTGGACGGGCCCAGAGCCCGCCCCGAGCCCTGCCCCTGCCCCTGATGCCCGCCCTGCTTGTCTGCGTCTGCAGTCTGTGTGTCCTCCATCCGTGCGTCTCTGTGTCTAAGCCGGCCTGCTGCAGCCACTTGGTGCCTTAGTCCTTGGGCTGGGGGGAGGGGGCACCCGGGCCTCCACCCTTAAAGGCAGCGGGAGTGGGAGTGGGTGGGGGTGGGGGGGGTTGGATGGGCCTGGAGGATATTAAAGAGACACAGAAGCTGTCTGTCTGAGCTCCTCCTAGTCATTCAGCAAGGGGCAGGGATGCAGGACTCTGCGTGGGTAAGGATCTTGCAGGACACAGGGATGGGAGGGGGCCGGCATCCCCAAGGGTCTGGAGGAGTCCGCCACCTCCTCAAAATCGCTCTGGGCAGGGCTGAATTCCTGGACTCGGGTTCACTGCCTGACCACCCCATCCAATCTCTCCCTGAAGCCCTGGTCTCCTGAAAAGGCACCTGAATCCCTCCTTCTCTCTGAACCCTTTTGCCCTCTAAACTCTTCTCCAGGTCACCAGCTCCCTCCTCTTCTCTACTCAGAAATACTAGCTAGTAAGCTGTCCAAATAGTGCCTCCTTCATGCCTGACTTTTTATTTATTTTTTATTTTTTATTTTTTTTTAAGATTTTATTTATTTATTTGAGAGACAGAGATCACAAGTAGGCAGAGGCAGGCAGAGAGAGAGTGAGGGAAGCAGGCTCCCTGCTGAGCAGAGAGCCCAATGTGGGACTTGATCACAGGACCCCGAGATCATGACCTGAGCCTAAGGCAGTGGCTTAACCCACTGAGCCACCCAGGCGCCCCCATATGCCTGACTTTTTAAATGCATGAATTCCCTTCATCTCTGGGAGGAAACTGAGGCTCAGAAAGGGTAGGCAGCTTGCCTGAGGACAGTTGGAGTAGGGGAGGCTGGATTTGACCCTAGGCAGTCTGTGTCCCATGGTGGCTGTTAAGAAGTAGTTCCTTGGTGACCGTTTAATCGGATTATTACAGGCCTTTTGGTGGTGACTTATATAAAGTTCTTTATATATTTTGTATATTAACTCCTTATTGGATGTTTCATTTGCAAATACCTTCTCCCACTCAAGACCCTTCCCACCTAGAGCTTCAAGGCCAGGGGGCAGCCATTGAGAAGGGAAGGAAGGCCTCGGGGCAACCCCAGCAAGCAGCAAATGGACTCGAGTTGAACAGAGGTCATCCGAGCTGAGTTTTCTGAACTAAAAGTAACTTGGAGTTGAGAGGGGTCTGAAAAAACTCCAATCTAATAGCCACCTGGCTGGGGTCCCTGTTATGCACCAAGCACCATGTTCAGGGCTGTGGAGGAAGCCCAGATGCCAGTATTGGGGTGAGAGGATGGACGAAATAATCCTCATCTGCTGCCCAGCCTCCTTCTCAGGAAACTGAGGTTGATGTCCGAGGTCACCAGCTGGCAAGTGGTGGGGCTGGGATTCTAATCCAGGCAGTCTGGCTGGAAAGTCAAGGGAACCCTATCCTCCTAATCACTATGACTCTTCCACCCAGAAAAATGAAAAGATTGTCTGACACATTTAAGATTCCCACTTTGATGTAATTATTACACTTGGACTTAATCCTATGAAATGCTTTGCTCCCCCCACCCCAACCCACCCCCCGCCCCTGAGCCCTACAAGTGGGTCTGAATTGTGTCTGTAACTGTAGAGGGGTCAGAACTGAGTGGCTGCTGGGTTGGGAGAACAGAGGGTGGAGAGCACAAAGAAGATGTCCCTGACACGTGCACAAGGAGGATAGTACTTCCAGTCTCTGGTCAGCACTGACCAGGCATCCAGCTCTGTGCTCATTCGGAGTTTTAATTTCCCCATGTACACAACAAAGGGTAGAGCAGTCGAGCTACTTGACCTCTTTCAAACTGCAAACTCCCTTTGACAGTTAAATGAAAGATGCAAACCCTAGAAAAATGTATATACACGAAAAAAAAATTGTATATACTTTCTGTGGGGAGTGGGTGTCCCTAAACCCTAGGTGTAAGCTGTTGGGAGATAGTGGGGGGCACTGTGTAGTGTCCTGAGTTTTGGGGACAGAGAGACACAGGTTCAGGTCCTGACTGCCTCCGAGTACTAGCTCTACGACCTTGTTACAGGGCTTTAACCTCTCTGAGCCTTATTCTTCTTACTAATAAAATGGGTAGACTCTTCTCACCTGTTGTGGTGAGAACCCACTGAGACCCTGTAGGAAAGGCTTTGGCCAGGCCCACACCCTAGTGAGCCATCAGTGGATGAGGACTCCCAGTATTTGAGGAAGTATTTCTCCAAGTGTGGCTCATGGACCACCTGGATCAGAATCCCACGGGAGAACTGGTTAAATACAGATTACTGGTTTCTTGCCCAGAAAGTCTTTTTTTTCTGCAGGTCTGGTATGGAAGCGAAGAGTGTACATTTTAAACTAGCCTCTGCCTCCCAATTCTGATGGGAGTTAGTCTAAGAAGCACTATGGCTTTTACCTGTACATTCCAGGCGCTGAAAAGAGCCTGGATGGTACAGGTAAAAGCCATAGTGACTTCCCCATAGGCTGGGAAGTACAGAGAACAGGTGCACCGGTAGCGCAAGGGACGCCTCTGGGTGACCGCCGGGGCCCCTCTACAGGGACGGACAGATCCCTGGCTACCCTCCCCGTACAGTCCAATGGGTACCCTCCAGGGGGTCATGGCGTCCCACCGTGCCTCTAACTGTCCCCTCTGTGCGGCGCGACACCCTCCGGGCCAGGCTACCACAGAGAAGAGCGAAGGGGTAGGGCCTCCCGAGTCAGGGGGACAGAAAAGAAAGCGAAACTCGCGCATCCAGAACTTTCGCTTTCGCCGCTTCCGCGCACCATTAGGAGGCTTCGCGATTCCCTGTCGCGCCGGGGTCCCAGCCGCCGCGCGCCCCAGACCTGGCCGCCGGCGCCCTGCGTTCCGGACGGCCGGCGACCCCTGGCGGAGGGAGGCAGGGAACTTCCCCGACGTTAGGCGACCGATGGCGGGGGCCGGGGGTCCCCTGCGCCTCCGCGACTGGCTGGTGGCCCAGATCGAGAGTGGGCGCTACGCGGGGTTGTGCTGGGAGGACGCAGACAAGACCCTCTTCCGCATCCCCTGGAAGCACGCGGCCCGGCAGGGCTACCGGGCGCAGCAGGACGCGGCGCTCTTCAGGGTAAGCGGGCGGGAGAGGCGGGACGCCGGGGCTGACCCGCGCGCTGTGTGACCGGGGCCCACTCGCTCGCCCCTTTGCCCCAGCGGTCTCTAGGTTGCGGAGCGTGTTGTGCATATACGGGAGACATATACGGGGAGCAACCAGCCAAAGGTGCTATGCGAGCACCACCCGGACCTCCGGGGCCTCTCTTCCCTCCTCCCTCCCCATCCCCGGGAAACTGGACGCCAATGACAGGATTCCCACAACCTCCCTCTACCCCGAAAGTGCCCATCCCAGCAGCCTGGGAACGTGTTCTGTGCTTCCCCACACCAGCCCTTTTCAGGGATCTCCTTCTCCTTAACTTCAAACTCCTTCTCTTCAGCATTGAAATTCTGGAATCTCTCCCCTGAGTAATAAGCAACCAACTGCCATCAGCACCGCCCCCCCCCCCCCACCGCAAACACCACAGCCCCTCCAGCTCCCACTTCTCTGGCCTCCCCTCCTTTCACCGGCTGAAGGGCCTGGTCATCAGCTCTGTCACTCCTGGCCCCCAGTTCCTGACCCCCCCCCACCCCTAGTCTGGCTTCTGTCCTTCCTGCTAACATCACTAGTTGCCAGATCCAAAGATCCCATCACTGTCATCCTTGACCCCTGGATGGGTCTGGGCCTGGTGGACCCTTCCTTCTCGAAACACTCTCACTTGGTTTCCAGAATCTTCCCCCACCAGCACTCCAGCTCCATTTTCCTCCTACCCTGCTGCCCCTCCCTTTCTCAGCTTGCCCCCTCCTCCCCTCCTCTTTGGGTGCTCTCAGCACTGCTCCAGGATCCCCCCCCCTTAATAGCTTACTCCCATCGTCCAGGTCCTCCGCATGAGCCTCACAGTTCCCAGCCTCCCCTCCAGGCCCCAAGCCTGCTCTTCTAAAGGCCCCAGAACTCTCCAACTCAGCACCTCGTCAGGACCACACTTAACATCTCCCCTTGACAAACTTGTGTGTGTCCCCAAATGGAGGATGGCACCGATTGTCACCCAGACCCCAGGGGCCAGGCACCTGAACCCTGGCCTCTCCCCTGACTTCCAGTCTCGTTCCACTCTGTCCCCAAGCTGTAGAAGCTTTTCTACAGTCCGTCTGCTTGGACCCATTCCCACCATCTCTCACCAGGACAATCCCAGTGACCTCACAGAGCGCCACGCTTCCCCCTGCCCCTTACTTCCCCCTGCCCCTTACTTCCCGCCTCGGTCTTCCAGGGAGATCTTCCTAAATGTAAATCTTGCCTTGACACTTCCCTACTCAGAATCCTTCTTTGGCTCCCCATTGCTCTTGTGAAAAAGATCCAACTCCTTACCAAGACTTCAGAGCAATGCGTGAACTGCTCCTCCCTGGCCTCATCTCTCCCCACCCTTCCCTTCCCTGGCTTTAGACCTGGCCTGACAGTTCTTTCAGTTTCTAAATGCTTCATGTCTCTCTCACTGTTAGACCTTTGCACTTGCTGTCCCCCTGCCTGGATATCCGCTCCTCTTCACCTTGACCTGGCCAACTGCCATCATGCTCAGCTGAAACGTCTCCTTGGGAGGCTTCCCTCATGCATTCATTGGTCGAGTGCATTTATTAAGCTCCAACTCGGTGCTTTTCCTAGGCCATCCCTGGTTCCTTGTTTCCTCCATTGGAACAACTTCCCCCACAACACACTGCCTCTAGCTACCCGAGTGTTGAGGGTCGTGATCCTGAGCTCAGGGCAAGGCTCACAGAAGACACTCAGTGAGTGTTGAACAGGGGGTTACATGGCCTGTCCCTTAGGACGGAGTGCTGTTCAGAGGAAGGAGAGAATGCAGAATGC